GAGGAATGTGAAAAGGAATCAGAGAGGTTGGTCTAGCAAAACAGCCCTAACTCCAGTGAGCACAGCTCCAGCTTCACCATGGCTGTGTTGTCCTGAAGAATTGCAAGGGGCACAGCAGGGAGGTCTGCCTGCTCTGACTGGAAATTGATCTTATTCCAAAAGCAAGGGCATCCAGTCTTCCAGGAAACAAAAAGTTTTCAGCAGCATCAGCAAAGTGACTGGCTCACTGTGGTGTAGGGCTGAGCCAGAGGTTGTGGGGAAGAGGCAGCCGGGCAGGCAGCTGCTTCCTACTGCTGCCTTGACATCCCACTCCAGCTCCTTCCTGGCCACTGAGTGCACATTGCACTGGAGAGAGGAGGCTTACCTGTGGTGTGAGAACAGAGGGCAGGAAATTGCTGCATGCAGAGAGAAAATCCTGCCTGCCATAAAAAGCAGCCAACTCTGCTGGCAGTGAGGGACACACAGGTCTTACACTTAATTGAAGTGTTTTCAGGGAACTACACAGGAGAGAGAGGATCAGCCCTTTGGCCATCACTAAAGTGTGAGCACACAGCACACACAGGCTGAAGCACACAGGCTGAAAACATCCCCAGCACGCTTGTGTTTCACATCCTCTCATCTCCAGCACAGGCACTACAGGGACTGGATTGCCAAAGGTGAGAAGGCACTGCAGAGCTGACAGATGCACCAAGCTATCCAGAGCCATGTGTACACAAAAGACAGGGATCAGCTAGGGAAGAATGAATTCCTTCAGCATTCAACACAGCCTCTTCCAAAACAGTGCAAAGGCAGCTGCAAGAGCAGCAATTAGGCTTCCCAGAGTCCAAAAAAACCACAGAGGAGCATCAGAAAGAAAACAACAGGCTGTCCTAAATATAAAATACCACCACTGGTCAGCCCCCTTGTAGCAAAGTGCCAGGGTTTGGGAAAGTTTTCCTCAATGCTTGGTAGGTAAAGCGAATTCCCATGCCTTTGAGCATTACTTACCTCTCAGTTTGGCTTTGCCTTAGTGCCCTCCTCCTCCTCAGCCGACAGTGTGCGCTTTAGCAGGACCCGTGCAGGACCCGTGAGGGAGCAGCTTTCAGTGCTGCGGTGTGCTCAGCAGTTGCTGGCTCCTGAGGCTGTAGGGATGCCCAGATGGGGCTGGAAGCTGGCATGGGGACAGCACTGGCTGCCTTTGGGCATTGAGGTTCCCCCCCCTAAAGCAAATAGTCAGATATGGCCCAGTTTTCTGGAAAGAGTGTTTCTGTATGTTTCAATATATGCAAGCTGTTGTCTCCCTGACTGCTGCAGCTGTTACCCAGCTTCTCTGTCTCTAATTGTGAATGTGGTCCTAGAGTGCCTACAGATTTCACGGTATGTGATTAAAACAGGCTAAATGCTTCATGTTGGAACAATGCCGGAGTAGGAAGCACAGTGAGAGTTCCTCAGTTCAGACAACTGCATGTTAGGTGTTTCTACACTTGCACAGCCTCTTTCCCTGTGTCCCATCTCCTCTGAGCAGTCCTTTCATCTCTGCTGGACCCCACCACAGGATATCAGGGGTAGCCTCGAGCAGAGGTTGGCAAGGGGTATAAAGGCATTCAGGAAAGAGCCAAAGGAGGGATACAGACAGCTGTATGGCAGCTGTTCTGGGGCTCACCAGCCCATGGCGAAGTGCAGCCTGCTGGTGCCTCTGCTGCCCACAGCCCTCCAGCAAGGGACATCTCCACAACATGGGGTTCAGTCCATTGAGTTCTAGGGAGGCCACAGGCAGCTAGGGGCAGGGCAGAATGGTCAGTGCAGCACTGAGGAGGAAACAGAAAGCAGGCAATGAGGATGAACATCTTGCCAAACTTGGGCCAATCTTTCTTTTTTTTGTGCCCTCAGACGCTCCAGTGCCTCTTCCTCTTCTTCTGCACCATACTGACAGAAGGAATCAAGCTCTGCTGCCTGCATTGCCAGCTGGGTGTGGAGCTCTCCTTCTGCAACTAGCTAACCCTTAACTTTACCTGCTGTAAATAGAGAGCAGGATCTGGGCTCTGAGAACCTGGCTGGTTCTTTGTGCAAAGCCAGTTTGGCTGTGTGCCCCGGCTTCCACTTTTGGCACGGCAGCTGTGCAGCTGCCTGGCTCTGCAGAGCTGGTGGCAGGACTCCCACATGCCTTCTGTAGCTCTGCTACCAGCTCTTGTCAGTTCCTCCTCACATGCTCCCCAGAAAACAGGGCAAAACCACCAAAACACACATGCTTTCTCCCATTGCCCTGTAGCTCTCCAAAGCTGTGTGGGCAAAGTTCTGTGAAGATCAGACCTGCTCATCAGAGGAGAGGGAATCTGAGCCAGGTCATGGTAACCAAGACAGACAATCCTGTAAGCAGCCAAACTCCCCCCATCTACCTTAGCCCAAGTTCTTTCTCTTCCTGCCTTATACCTCACTCTCAACTGCTCATTCTGCAGTGTTATTTTTTGACACCCTTAAGACATGCTATTGTCTCAAAAAAAAAAAGGTGAAAAAATAATCTGAGGTGTCTCAGGAAGAGATGAATTGGGGAAATCCTTACAGGAGTTTTGCCTTCTGGGGACAGTTTCAGTTCACACCTCTATCAGGATCCAGTCACAGCCCTGAAAAGCAACAGGATATGGGGACTCCAGCTCTTATCCTGGTGGTCCAAATTAACTAAAGAAGGAAGAAATGCAACAACCTGGGTCAACTACCGCAAAGCTTGTGCTCTAGTATTACTCTTGTTTTGGAAGGTTTTCCAGAGAGCCAGCAAAACTGGTTTCCTGAGGAAATGTAGCTGGATTGGGAACCAGCATCCAGACTGAAGTCCTGACTCCAAAACCCACCCTATTTAAATATCCTGACTGTTTACCGTCATGACCCTGATTGTCATCATGGGGTTGTTTGTGTTATGGCACACAGTGCAAGAAGGAGCAGAGGTTGCAAAACAACTTGCGGGAAAAAGAGGGCCAAAGCTAAAATTGTAAGGAGAGCACTGGGAAGAGGAAGATGCATGAAGGTCCAGATTGTCCCTGCCTAGATTTTCCCTGCCTGGTTTTATTTTTTCTAGAGTAAAATTAGGAATAAATACTTTTAATCATTATGTTGGCTGCAATTCCACAGCAGAATGCCTGTTCACCCTTGCATATTTCTCCTCCCTTTTCATTTTTCCCAATGCAGCTCAGCAAGACAGTGACCCACAGGGTCAAATTTAGTCCCTGACCACAGCAGGGCTACTGCACAAAGCACTGGTTGAGGTGCTCCAGTGGTGTTTCATACTGACTTCGGTAAAAGCACAGGAAGTAAGCAAAAATGTACCAGCCCTTGCTCCAGGAACATGTGGTGATGCTTTGACTAAATTTCTAGAAAAGATGAGTATGGTGTTTTTTCTTCAAAACAGTTTAAAAGCAGGTTTTAGAGAAACCTGTGTAGGAAAGGTTACACTGAAGCTGAGATAAATGCGGTTTATGGTAATTTAGCTTGCTTTGATGAGAGGAAGGCACAAAGCTCATACAGAAATACATAAATAGACATACCTAGACTTACACTGAGATTTCATTTGCGTGGTTTTGTAGTGCTTTAGCTAGATCAGCTCATGAACATCAGTTATGTGTATGGCCAAACAAAGCTTCATAACTTCTTTTTCCAGCAGCTCAAATGCCTCCCTCCGGCCCCCTGTGCTAACATAACAAAATGGGGTGCTCAGTCATTGCTGGCAAAGGTAGGCACTTGTTTTAAACTCACTTCCTTTAAACCTGTTTAAGCTGTGACCTGACTTCTGCACAGCTGCATCAGAGGTGTGAGCATATATTTAATCTCACCAGGGGATGCAAAACCTGCCCTAGGGCTGGCTAAGACCAGTCTCTCACATATAATACTCCATCCATTCTCCTCTGATGGAATGTGAAAGCCTGTAAGAGCTGGATCTGCTAGGACCCCACTCGGAGACTTTGGAGTGTTGCAGAAGCTGTTTTGGTGGTGTTTTCTTCAGGAAATTTATTTTTGGCTGGCTCTTTGTAGCAGGAGATGTAAACCTGCTGCCACTTTAAGGAGTTTTTCAAGCTTGCTCACTCTCTGCCTCAGCTATACTGGGATTGAGAAGTCTGGTTTTAGTAGGAGGGGTCCCTGACTCCCTAGGGTCAATGCTTTCCTTAGCTCTGAAGTGGAAATAAACTCATAACTTTAACAAACATGTTTCCTTCAAAGTGTTCCTTTGCCATTTGAGGTAGAGAGATATTAAACAAGTCAATCTACACTCAGGAAAACCACTTCCACAACTAGTCATTTTTCATTTGCCAGGTATCAGAAGATCTCCACACTAAGCTGTAGAGCACTTCAGGAAAACCAGAATCGATTGTGTGCAGTGACACAGGCAGTGTTTCCCCATGTTTTTTGCCCATATTTAAATTTCTGAATTTCCTTTATGTCTGATAAGGATATACAAGCCAGGGTGCAAATTTTGTCACTTTTCCTCTTCCGTCATTAAAAAAAAGATAGACATTGCTCTTCCAGCATAAAAGAACACAGACAGCAACCTTGTTTCTCAGACACCTCCAAGGACAGACTTAATAAACTCCTAGATGAAGGGTTGAAACAAAATACCTAAATTTCAAATAGTGTTTTGTCTGCATTACAAATTCAGACCTGCCACTAGAGGTAACTAGAGGTTCACATAAAGTATTTCCATCAATTTGTGACCTCTCTCCCAATTGAACTCCATTTGACTGTAGCACAGTCATTTACTTGTTATCTTGGAAGTACCACTGAAGCCAAGGGATTGTCTTTACATGGTAGAAAAAGCCTTAATGACTGCAGTTCTGATATAATCTTTCTGTCTCTTTCTGCTGTTTTCTGCATGCTTCTATCACCTGTCTTCTGGAGCTGTTTTAGACCATTTAAAAGAATAATTTAAAAATATGCTTAATAATTTTAAAGAATGTCTTAAGAAGAATTCAGTTTTTTATTATAAGAAAAATATAAGAGTATTTTAAGAATCTTAGTGTTAATCAGCAACATGGACACACCCAGGCTGAAGCCAAGACATGACAAAGTATCAGAGTATCTTTGAGAAAGGGAACGTTGAAACCTATTTCCTATGTTATCACATGATGGGATTTTTATCAGACAAAGTGTGAAAGTGGCTGTTGGTAGGGGAGCCATTATAAAAACACATGCTGTATTCTTATTTAAAATTCAAGCAAAAGCACAACATTTTTACCCATCAGACTTGGGCACATGGTTCATCTCATACAAGACCCCTTCTCTTTGGAAACACTGCGAAGCTTCTAGGAACAATTTGTCATTCTTCTTGCCAGGGGGCAAGCTGGGGACCGGGACAGCGAGGCTCAAGGATGCATGGCCTGGATGCTGGAGAAAGGGCACCTTGCACCTCCCATGGGGCCAGGGTGGTCTTCACCTGCTCTAAGAAGGGGTCCCTGCCCTGGAAGGGTGCCAGTGCAGCCTGGGCAGGCGGAGATGATGGGGCAGTGCCAAGCCTGAGTCAGCAGCATCTGCCACTGCCCAGTCACAGCCATGCCCTGTCAGCCCTGTGCATGCCTGAGTCATTCCCACCAGCCTTTGGGAAGTAGGGAGCATTTAGAAATCAGCTTCAGCTGGAAAATACAAATAATAAATAGGGGAAAAATAAAAGGAAGATGTTGTGAAAAGTTGACATCCAACACTTCATCTTCTAAATGCAAGGCTTGCCCTTCTTTGTGTTCTGCTCTTGTGGTTTTTCTTGAAAATGTTGCTTGCACTTTTGGAAAGAATAAAACATTGGGTAATTGGAATGCTCTTCTGCTTTCCCCCATGAAATATTTGGTCCCAAACAGATGGGTGTTTTTCTTACTTTTTCACTAACAACAAACCTCAAATATTTTCATTCCCAGTGTATCTGAAAATACACTATTGCTGCCGGGGTTTTAGTCTGGCTTCACAAACGGAACTATAAATTACCCATACATATGCATGGAGTGCTTAGAGCCACTCATGTGCTTTCCAGAAGAGATTTGTCCAGCTGGGGAAAACCACAGGTGCCAGGAACATCCCAGCCAGGTGGTTTGAAGGCAGCAGGGAGGGAGAAGGTGAAGTAGCAATAAGATGACTGGCTCCAGGCTGCTGTGATGGATTTCCAGACCGGATGGGAGATGAAGTCCTGCAGATGCTCACTGAGAGTGACTGGGGGGAGTAGGGCAGTGGAGAGGGAGACAAAAGAGCTTTTCCTAACAGCATTATTGATGGACAGCAAACCACCAACACTCCAGTGCCCTGCAAACAGCACAAGGGATCTGGAGTCACCGGCAGCCACATGCAAGACCTCATCAAGTCTGGCTTCCCAGCAGCCCTGCTTATCAGCAGCTGATGTAGGTGTTGGGTGTATCTATCTGCTGAAGAGCAGATGTTCGTCTGATCCATCCTCTGGAGGAGAGCTATGTCTGTCAGGCCCCTCCCCAGGGATGCCTCTGGCTGCTGAGGGAAGGCAGGGGTTACCCTGTTCTAGCATGCCAGTTATACCTAACCGTGACCAATGCACGCAGCCCACACCCTGCCTCCCTCTGCAGCCACTGCGGGAGCAATGCGCCTGGGGCTTGTGCCAAATCTGCCAGTCCTCATGCAAAAAAACAGACAAATCTCTGCAGCTTTGCTTATCTAAAAAACTCAATAATACCTATAAATATGCAGTAGAACTTAAACAGATGCACACCCTTAACCTGGATTGAGAAGTGCAGTGCTGCTGCTGAAAGGCATGAGCAGGGTGGGCTGCTGCTGAGCAGGATGGCTACCAAAGCTAACATCCCAATAATCATTCTGCATTTTAGGGTGCCTCCCACAACGTGCATGTGCTTTAGGAACTGTGTTTATACCTGAAGTCATATAATTAGAGAATGGTTTGGTTTGAGGTGAAAACACCATCTAGCTCCAATTCCCCTGCCATGGACAGGGACACCTCCCACTAGACCAAGTTGCTTGCAGCCTCATCTAGCCTGGCCTTGATCACTGCCATGGGTGGGGCATCCATAGCTTCTCTGGACAACCTGTTTCAGTGCCTCAGCATCCCCATAGTGAAGAATTTCTTCCTAATATCTAAGTCAGGCAGACTTTACCTGCAGCAACAGGTTGTATCTTCTGCTGGAACAAGAGATATTGGTGGTAAAAGCCACAATGGTGTGGATGAAGCTGAGATACTTGATATCTCAATCATAGAAGAAAACCTGAAAGGGAAGAACTCACTGAGGCTCCTCTACCAGCAGACAAGCTCTCCAAGCATCTTAGCTTTTCCTTCTGTGTCATGTCTGGTCCTTAAAAACCTCCTTCTGCAAACCTCACTTTGCTCATATCAACCACAGAGTTCTACTGACAGTTTTATACACCATGGGTGGCAGCATCTTGTGTAGGGCTCAGCAGAAGTTGGTCTTTTTGGTGCTGTGGAAAATTCCAAAGTCAGGGAGAATTGCATTTTTTTTTTCAGGAAAAGAAGAGGTAGTTTGTGACAAAAAGGAACAAAAAACAGACATTACTCTGAAATAATGCAAGTTTCAATTTTGGTTGAGACAGGAATGCACATTTAGAGCTGGGGTCTACACTTCCAGTGATCTCTGGCTTGCAGAGCTGAACAGGGAGTTTGGTGGTGCAGGGTCCTGACCCCAGTTAGGGCAGAGTTACACAAGAACAAACACGAAGCTCAGGAGCAGTCCACAAAGTCTGCTTGCTGCATTTCACACAGCCATGACTGCACACGGCTTTGGCTATATTTTCCAAGACTGACAGGTTGCTGCAGAGCCTGAGGGCCAAGTGCTTTGTGTGTGTGTGCATTGCCCACATCCTTTGTGCTCACTGCCTCTTGCCCAGTGAAGGAGCAGCCTCAGCAGGTGGTTTTCCAAATGCATGCTTGATTCCACTGCACTGCACAGCCCCCCAAATGTCTGCTGGAAAATCAGGGCTGAAGGTTTGCTCTTTGCATCTCAGTCATCTCAGCTGCTGGAGAAGAGGTACTGACATGTACAAAAGTAGCTCTGGTCACTTGGGGTGGTGGCTAAAATATGCAGCAGAATTCAGGAGTTTTGTCTCTGAGTCTTAAAGCCTTTGCAGGGGAACTTGAAAGCAAAGCCTTGTGCTCCCCTGCGCTGAGACACTATGGGGCTGCTTCTTGGACTGGGAGGGGATAGGTGGGATCACATCCCAGTCTTGAAGAAGGAAATGTGTTTGTTAATTCTATGTCCTGAATGGATCCTTTATGTTATCCATGATTAACTGGCCTGAATTTCCTTATCATCCACAAATGTATTTAAAGTCTCTCTTAAGTAAGGAATAATTTGAAAAGGGAAAGGGTCCAAGGAGACAATTTTTCTAAATTATTTCACCTTTATGTGGGCCTGGAGACTCATGTTAACGGCTCCTATTTGCATTACTGCCTTCACCTTCTTGTCTTTGGAGTTTTTGCCCTTTAATTTTTGGGAAGGAGCTGGCCACAATTCCCAGTTCACAAATTTGATATTCTTTGAGAGACACAATAGTGGCTATTTAATGTGGTTTGAGCATAATATTACTAAAGCAGAAGAATATGCCTCTGCCATGTGGATTGAACAGGACAGGTGGCCTGTGTGGCTGAAGCTATCTTGGTGTAAGTGTAGCGCAGTCTAGGAGCTGGGGAAGTTTTGGGAAGATCATGCCAACCCTTGTTGCATAAAGTATTGTTTTCCCTCCCTGCACTTACCACAAGACCTTGCCAAAGGACAGATGGCCAGAGATGTTATGAAATGACTCAGGAACTGGAACATTAAGATTTTGTCTCGGTTCACCAATGCTTGACACACGGAGCCCCTGATGTTACCCCCTGCTGGGGAATGTGGGCTACAGCTGACTTTCTGCTAAGGAGCCCCTTATCTGGGTGGGCTTGCTGCTGCAGGCCACCTGCTTGCTCGTACTCTGGTGCTGAAATATGTGTGTACAAGCAACACGGCGTGGCAGATGGGAATGTGTAGATGTCTTCTGCAAAGTGGTAAAGCACTTTGAGATGCTTCTTGTAACAACAGTGAATCTTCAATATAAACAAATGAGCAAAATGCTAGAGAAAAAAGATGTGGGAGTGTGAGACCAAGCCAGGTCTAGAAGGATCTTAAGAATTTCTGGGCTCAGACTGAATGTTTCAGCCAGTGGTATTCCAGCCCAAACCTTTGAAAGGAACAGATGTTCTTACAGGGGTAGCCAAATGACAGGATTTCCCTGAAAAGCCTATTGAGAGGAAAGCATGCACTGACTGTCTGCCAGGAGATGGATTTCACCTGATTGCACAGACCAAATGCAGTCCAGGGCTGTCTGACCTGCAGTCACTGCAGGATCAGCAAGAGAAATCCTTGTTGTTGCAGTTATTCTGGGTGAAGATATTTGAAGAGATGCACTGTGCCTGGGCTGTGCCTCTAGCCTGTGAGTAGGCATGACACACCAGGAGGAAGTGCTGGGATTTGGGGAAGTAGTGACTAAAACAGGACAGGAATGTTCTTGGTTGTGGTCAATTGTTTCTGGTGCAAGCTATTTATTGCCTCACTGTTAACGTAAACAGTGCTTTGAATGTGCTATGTTTTGGTGCTGTTTTATCAAATATGATTTATTTTGCTTTGACTCATCAGACAAAGAGTGTTGGGAAACTGGCTGTGCTCCTGAAATGTCCTTGCACAAGAAAATTCCTCCAACTCTGCCTTCTGTAGAAAACCTAATTTTAATTATGAAAACCTTGGTTTCCCTCAGTCAGTTCTGTTTTCCCAGAGTCTGACTGAGCCACCCCCTCACTGAGCTACTTGCTGACCACCATTTGAGATGCCATCAAGTTATCAATCCAATAAAGCCTCAGGCCATTCTCCTTTGCAATCTTTTGCTTCTCTCTTGTAATTTTTTTTTTTTTTTTTTTTAAAGCTGTTGTGGTCCTGACCACCCTGCATCCTGCCCCTCTTTTCTTTTACTCCAAATTTAACCCAAAGAACAGCCCCAGCCTTTGGTTCTCTCCAGAAGCAGATGGCCACCAGGGGCAGAGAACATATATATACTATATGTATGCAGTCTGTATACAATCTTCTCCAAAACTCACAGGAAATAAGTGGTCAGTGGTGAACAGAACAGTTTCTTTTGAACCTGGGGTTCAAAGAGGGGTTTTTTTGTTCCTTTATTGTTTTATCTGGTTTTCTAGCATCACCCTCTCCACAGGCTGCAGTGCAGAACGGCAATTTTGGAAGCCAATTCCGACGGGTGGCAGCAGAGGGGGCGGTAGAACAGCAGTGAGGTGTGCTCATATGTGTTGTGCCTCCAGGCAGTGGCAGCACTTCAGGTCTGCAGTGCCAAGAGATCTGGGCCAATGATTGCCTCATCCAAACCTCTGTCAGAACACAGAGCAGCTGCCACTCTGAGAAGAGGCAGGGACAACAGAGCAGCCAACAAATTTGTCCTGGTGATAGGCAAATGCCATACCATGACTTGCCTCATGTCGAGGCACATTATCCCTCTGGGCACAGGAGGTTGCTCGTAAGTCAGGTTTTAGTCTTCATGAGAGCTGCAGCATGTCCATTCAAGAGAGCAGGTAGCAATTCACACCAGCAGAGAGACCATCATACAGCCAGTGGAGAGGAGGACACAGAGGTACTTCACCTGGCTGCAGCCCTTTGTTCTTCAGTCTTGCTTTGGCATCCACATGAAAAGGCTGCCTCAGCTGAGTTCCACACTGGGGGGAGCGTGCCTGGCCAGGGCAGTCCATTGGGAGTGGTGGAGGCACACAGGGTACTATCCAGCTGGGTCTGGGTGCCAAGGAGCCATCCAGAATCAGGGTAAGGAGTAGCTGATGCCAGTGGGTGCAGGTGGGGTGAATAAGGCAAATTCAAACTCTCTGATGTTCTGCAAAGCATAACAGATGTGACAAAGGGAAAGCAAAACAAAACTGGTTAGAAAATGGTGAGACGACAGCAGTGACATGTACAGTTCTGTGATGATTGATGAAAAACTCAACATGAGCCAACAGTGCACTCACAGCCCAGAAAGCCAAATGAATTCTGGGCTGCATCAAAAGTAGCATGGCCAGCAGATCAAGAAAGGTGATTCTGTCCCTCTACTCTGCTCTTGTGAGTCCCCACCTGGAGTGCTGAGTACAGTTCTGGTATCCCTGACAAAAGAAGGACATGGAAGTGATGGAAAAGGTCCAGATGAGGCCACAAAATTGATAGGGGGACTGGAGCACCCTCCCTATGAAGTCAGGCTGAGAGTGTTGGGGGTGTTCAGCCTGGAGAAGTAAAGATTGTGTGGAGACCTCCTAGCAAACTTCCAGTATCTGGAGGGGGCCTACAGGGAAGCCAGAGAGGGACTCATCATCAGGAACAGCAGTGATAGGACAAGCAGTAATGGGGACAAATTGAAAGAGGGGAAATTTAGTTTAGATATTAGGAAGAAGTTTTTTACTCTGAGAGGGTGAGACACTGGCACAGGTTGCCCAGGGAGGTTGTGGATGCCCCAACCCTGACAGTGTTCAGACAGGTTGGATGGGGCATTGCGCAACCTGGTCTAGTGGGAGGTGTCCCTGCTCAAGGCAGGAGGGTTGGGACTAGATGATCTTTAAGGTCCCTTCTAACCCCCTAACGTTTTATAATTCTATGTTGTTTGCCTCCTTACATTACACCCAGCCTTTCACTTTGTGCAAACATGGCTCAGTGGGTGGAATTTTCTCTCTTTCCCTTCTTTCTCCCTTTGGCTAAAGCCTTACAACTCTCTGGGACTTCAGCATCAGAATGGCTTCATGAGTGGGAATGGTCTGATACAAGGTAGCCCATTTAATAGTCAATTAAACCAGATTGTGCCTGCACTGCCAGGGATGAGGACTGACTCTGTGACAAAGCTGGGCTCCTTGAAGTGGCACTGCTAATCCATCTTCCTCTGCCTCCCTCTGCCTCCCTCTGCCTGCACACACAGATGCTGAGGCTGCCCCCCCATCATCTCTCCCCAGGCCACATCCCAGGCCTGCAGTTAGGAGCCTCAGCAGCAGAGCAACATCCACTTGTACATACTGGTCACATCAGTGGCTGTCAGCATAATTTCCATCTGTTTCAGAATCGTTCCTGCAGCAATGGGCCCAGCAGGAACACTGGAAATCCCACCCAAAATGCAGTACACAAATTCTTTGGACATATGGCTTATAATCCTCTTGGGAAAAACAATAAAAAGGGTGGTATAGCTTAAATACACCAGTAGAATGGAATTTTGTAGAAAAATAAAACCCTATTCTTCATGTTGTCTCTGAGCCATAAAAATGAGTTCATGAACTTTATGTGGAGGCTTGAAGTTTGCTAAGCTTTAGAGAAACACGAGGTTATTTCCCCCAGAACTGTGATGTGCTCCTTCGTCTTAATATTTGTCTTTGTTTTTTGTCTATAAGAACCTGTGAGGGAATAGTCAGCTTCTTTACACACATTTTACTTACCAGACTCCTTGTTCAGCTCTAAGCTTGCTATTTAAATATAGTGCAGTGGCTGGTGAGATCTCTCAAGGACAGCCCCATCGTCCACTATACTGTCAGGAGGATATGTGTACATCTGCACACAGAGATGGGGAGGGGTCAACATTTCGTTGGCAGCAGAAACCTGCAGATATGTTCTGCTTTAGCAGGAAAAACAAGAAGTGGTTTTGCTTGGTTTCAACTGCCAAGAAACTCAGCTACTAAGAAACAAAGTGATGCTCTTTTTCATGGCCAAATAATGGAGCATTTATGCTCTCTATGGAGCAGATGGGAAAGGAGTATACCATGTCCCTGCTGTCTGGCAAAGAGAAATGGGCTGGTGTTCAGGGACTGTCAGGAGTGCTGCTATCAAGAAAAATCAGAATTACATGTCAGACACAGAGATCAATGCAAGCTCTTTGCTTGCAAGAAATGCATTTAAACTCTCACTTGTCTACACTGTAGAAACAAAATGATAATTTCTCCACTCAAAAAATCATGGAAAGCTCCTTTTTTCTGTTTCCTCACAGCCAGTTATTACCGAAAGGACTACTTATTATCATCCTGCAGAATTACTTACTCACCCCATCCCTGCATGAACCACCAGGAGAACCATGGCCAAACCCTGCCTGGCTGCAAGCAGGGAACAATGCTCTCCTTTGCACCATCCTGCCAAATTAAGGGGCTGGATTTCTCCTTGCCCTAGGGGAAAATAGAGAACACCCAGAGCTGCAATCCTGCTGGCACAAAGCCTGTTGCAGAAAACCACAGGCAGGATACCAACCACCTCCACTTCCACACAAACCTCTTTGGCCAAGGCTGCTCCTGCCTTTGCTCTGTTGGACAGCTGCTGCCCAGCTGCCGGCACCACGTACTTTCTGACCATCCTTAGCACAATAAAACTGCAAATTTGCTTGTGGTAGACTGAGTCCCCTCACCCAGATCATCAATAAAGATATTAAACAGGACTCAGTCCAAAACAGATCCCCGGGGGACAGCACTGGTGGCTGAATGTGGCATCACTCACCATGACTCTCTGGGCCTGGCCATCCAGACAGTTTTTAACCCAGCAAAGGGTGCTCTTGTACAAGCCAGGGGCTGCCAACTTAGGATGGAAATTTGAACTCAAATGTGTGTTTTGGGGTGGGTTCCAGACTCTTCACTTGGGATGTTTCTGCTTCCATAGATTGTGGTTATCACAGGGCTGATGGCAAGGACTGAGATGTAGAGGTTAAGGTGAACAGGAGGCCACCAAGATTCTGGGCTGACTGTGAGTGTTTTACCTGCCTTGTGAAACCCATGGGGCACGAGTGGAAGCACTGGTCTCAGAAAATGATCCCAACCCAACAGAAAGTTTTGCTTTAAAAATAGGGTAAGAGATTCCTTGATGAGCTAGGCTTCTTGAGGCTTTGCAAAACTGAATCGGACAAGGGAATTCCTACTGACTTTTCACTTTATCTTGACCATTTGCTTTAGCCATGTCCTGGAAGAGTTTGTTACCATGTAGGAATTTCCTCTAAGGTAGACAAAAAGTTCATCCACCAGCAGAGACCACACTGTCCAGAGTACACTTGTGCTTTGGACCAAGTCTACCTGCCTGTCATGACTTCCAGGACTTTCCTGTCCATCTCCTACGTGTGACTCCGAGGCTGTGCTCCAAGACAGATACCAGTCATAGTTAGGGAACGAGAAATTTTATTTATCGTTTTTTAGTTTCCTTAGATTAAATGGCTGCTCCATAAACCTGTTTGAAAAACTAAAGCATCTTCCTGCCAGAAAAGGTCACATTTGGGTTTTTTTCTTCCTATCTCAATCTGGAACAAGAGATAGGCTAAGGAAGCAGCTACCAGATAAATTTAGTTTAGGGGAACAGAAATTTATTTTATGTGTCAACGTTTGTTGCCTGTGTAAACCAGCCTGCAAAAACATCTAATTTTTTTTTCCCTAAGAAATGTGGAGAACAAGCTGTGAAGCCCAGAGGCTTTTCAAATAAAGTGAAAAAAAAAATGTCATCAGTGCATGCCTTATGGTAGGGGGTTTCTCTCTATTGCAACCTCCTTGTCTTTTCCAAATAAGATGAGATTAACCTCAGCTTGTCTGTGTAAATGCCAGGAATCTTCTTAAAGGGGGCTGTCTCTGCTGCCTCTGTCTGGGGAGGAGACTGGTAGAGCACAGACTGGGGGCTGATGTGACTCCTGCCAGTGCCTCTCTCTCCCTCCACTGACTGCAAAGTGAGCAGACAACTCCTAGCTGCTCTTTCAAATGTTCAGTTTGAAAATGAAATAAACTGATGAACAATATGTACCTTCAGCTGACAGAAGTCTAACTGAATTTTCAGAGAAAAAGAAAATTGAACAGGAGGTCCCTAGAAGTATCGTTTCCTCATTTCTGTATTAGAATCCTTTTTTAAATATGATGCTCCAAGACAAAGCACAGCCCTGCTAGAAAATTAAGGCTTCTGGAGAAGCAGTTTTTCTGGGCAAGAGTGAAATGAATGTTGAATGCCTTGCTGAGTGCTCTTCAGAAGGGCAAGAACTGTATGATGTGTTTTTCCTTTGTTCCTATTTGTCCTGGCAACTGAAATTAAGGAAATTTCCATCTTTCAACCAACTTCTGCTGTCACTTGTACCATTATATATACACTGAAAACAGTTGCATGATTTATATTTCTTGTGTGACACTGACACACTTTTCACCTGTCAATTCAATCACATCATTTTTTATCTCCTTTGCATATATCTTAACTGAAAATCCATACACAGCTTCTCTTACTTGGAGAATTGAAAGGGGGGAGATAAAATACAGTAGAACAAAAAGACAGGTTTTGATTTAAGGAGTTTTGAGGTGCAAAGGAAGAGATCTAAGTGCCTTAGGTTCCTGCAAGGTTCTCCTTACCATCACTGACCTGATGTAGGGCTTCTCAGCTGGTAGAAACATAATATCAGAGCATATAATCCTGATCAACCATCCACGAGGTCTGATGCTTTGTAGACTGGAGCCTCCATCTGCAATTCCATGGAGCCTGCACCAGGTAAGATAGCATATGTTGAATGAATTTGTTTTGTGAAATGTGGCATTATCCAAGAACTAACTTGGAAGCATTAAAAAATCAACCAGGAACAAGCTACCTGACAGAAGCATTTTCCTGTGTTCTCTGGAAACGCTGGACACAAAATCAGAGAGAGGATACCCGTCCTCATGTAACCAAGCATTCCTCTGGCTCCTGCCAAAGTGCAAGACACAGTTTTTTGAGTCAGGTGGGTAGGATGCCAAGGCATATGGAAATCTGGAGATGGAAATAGCAAGAGCTACCAACAGGGTTTCCAATCACAGCTATCTGCCAGCATGAATCAAGTGACTGCACACTCAGCATCAGTGTCCTTGGGGAAGACGGAGAAAAATAGAGACTGTTTGGACTGCAGAAACTATTTACCATCTCCTATTATCTTAACTGTGAAGAAAATAGATGTGTTGGTACACTTTTTTATTTTGGCACTTACCTGTTATCTGACATAATCTCAAAACACCTTTGCAAAATGGTGCTTTCTGCCTTTCAAGTATTGCTCAGCCCTGACAGCAAGCAGGAGGGTGAGCAAAGCTTCCCAGCAGATACCTGCTCTCTAACCACTGCCTATCCTGCAGCAGGGGTATGAAGAGCAGAACAGCATGAGATGAGGGACAGGACATGTGCAAGTCAAAATACTTCCCAGACAGAGGCAGTCATCAGGGCTGAGGTCTTTGTGAGAAGGTTCTTGTGTCAGGGGCCAGCAGCAATTGTGGCAGAGATCAGGAGCAGCCTTGCTGGCTGTGTAGCTCATGGACTGTGGGCAGACCTGCCCTGGGGCTTGCTGTCACTGTATGGTCAGCACAAAAGGAAAGATTAAATGGTGAAGACACTGGTTAGTGCTGTCCTCTCATCCCTGGAGAACCCTGATCATTCACAGTGAGGCTTCTCTGCTCCCTTAGGACAGCTGCTAGGGAGCAGCAGACCCCAGCCTGAGCTGAAACAGGACACAGTGATGGTTAGGACCTCAATCTAAGCTATTCACTGCTTGTTGTCTGTACTATCATGTAAAACCAGAAAGGATGACTGCTTTTGCAAGGACTTACCCTGCATTACTGAAAACCGTAACATTGTACAAATTGAGGGCCACAAACATATTTCCAGTTATTTCCATATTTCTAGAAAGTGACTCTGGTGGTAAATGTTCCAGGGCCACTTGCTGTCACAGTACTGAATCCTACACATCCATTGCCTCCAAAACTCACTGATCACAACCCACTGGATAGATGGACCCTGTCCTGTCCTACCTGTGTCATGTTCTGGCTTACCTGGACCACCTATCCCCACAGATGGCATTAAATTCTGGCAGCCAGAAGTGCTCCCTGACATGGTTTCTTGGTGTAGACATAGCTCTCCTGTCCTCCAAAGACAGCTTGTCTTTGTCTAGCTGTAGCAGGCAAATTCTGCCTTCACTAATTAAAAAAGGAAAATGTCACTAGCACAATTTTGGCCTGAGCTGTGGGGCTTCTTTCTTGCAACTGTGCTACTTTGAAGGAACTTGGCGGCAGGTCTCTCACTAGCTTCAGTCAAAACAGGATCCAAACATGGTATTGCAGACAAGTCTTCTTCTAGGATAAAATGAATTTATACTTTAAACCACTAGTCAGAGGCATTACTGATTTTTTTGGTACCTATTTTTAAGCTTAATTTCATAAAGAAATTAGGCCATTGTGACCTGATTGTATGCCTTATTCCCAGTCCCACTAACTTTTGATCCTGTTGGCCAGTTTCAACTCACCATCCACCTGGGAATAAATTCCTGCCTGCATATAGACAAACAGGCAGCATTCCCAGGAAAGGACCGTGATGTGATCTCTGCTCCTGTTGCATCCCTGAAAATGATCAGGCCAGAGAGGTGCACAGAACACTCAGCATGATGATGCTTCTGCCACAGCTTCGAGATGTTTAGATATCAACAAACCTCAAGAAAAAAATCTGTAACAAACCTGGCTTTTCCTGCTCTTAGTGCTTACAGTTGTTGCTACTGGTACTGCTCAGCTTTTTGGTTTTATGCAGTGCTGAACTTTGGTGACAAAGAATCATCTATACAGAGAAGTGCTTAGGAGTTAGATACCATTCCAGAAAACTGAAAAAATGGCAGCACATTGGAAAGTCTTGGCACCGGAGATATTTACAGCAAAAAAAACAACTATGCGCATTCATATAGTAGAAGCTTAGTAATTAATTGACAGTAGTCACCAAACATTTTGGTTCAGAAACATCTGAGTTTCTGACTTGTTAAGTATTTAAAATTTGTGTGCTTTGCAGTAAGTCTTTGGTATCTACCTGTACATGTTCTAGTCATAAGAAGAAATGAGTCTTTTGTCTCCCCAAGCCAGGAAAAATTACTAGTTTCACTGCTGCTTTTTCTGTCTTAAAACAGGAGCCTCCACAGTCAGAGTCTAGTTACTGAGTTGATTTTCATGAAAGATTTGTTGCAGCCCTTTGAAGTAGCTGCTGGAGAACAGCACAAGATTTGCACAGACAAATGGAAGAAGAATATTATTTAGATTATAATTACACATATGAATACCCTCATGAAAGCAACGTCTGTGAAATGGGTAACTATTTCACATTTAACATCTATCTCACTGCTGTCCTCTACATTCTGGTATTTTTCCTCAGTCTGCTAGGAAACACTTTGGTGTTATGGATCCTACTGAAATATGAAAACCTTACATCTCTAACAAACATCTTCATCATGAATCTCTGTGTCTCTGATTTAGTCTTCTCCTGCATGCTGCCTTTTTGGGTAGTGGACCAGTCCTTTGGATGGATTTTTGGTGAGTTCCTTTGCAAAGCATCAAATGCTATTTTCTCCATTGGCTACTACAGCGGTGTTTTCTTTTTGACTCTCATGACTGTCCTGAGGTACTTGTTTGTAGTGAACCCCCTTTCAACTCTGAGATCCCAGACGCAGTGTTGCGGTGTCCTGGTGTCCTTGGCTGTTTGGACTGTTAGCACATTGATTGTGGTTCCTGAGGTGATTCACACCACAGTGCAAGAAGGCTTGGAAGAGCGGAGGTTCTGTGATTATGCTGACGGGAATTGGAAAAAGGTGGACATTTATGTGAGAAATGTACTCTTCCTGTTTTCCTTTGGAGTCATTGTATTCTGTTACTTCAAGATACTCATAATCCTGCTTAGAGCAAGATCTCGCAGAAAGTACAGAACTGTGAAACTCATCCTCATTATTGTGGTGGCTTTTTTCCTGTGCTGGGCACCCTACAACATCCTCAGCTTTCTGACTACTTTTCCACCACCCACCTGTCAGTATGTGAAAGACTCCAACCTTGCCTTTCACATCAGCCGTAAAATTGCTTTCTCCCACTGCTGCCTCAACCCTGTGCTCTATGTATTTGTTGGAGTCAAGTTCAAGAGGCATTTGGCACAGTTATGCAGTCTGTGTTTACACTGCAGCAATGGTCAAACCTCCAGCCCCACGACCTGCGTTGAAGGCAAATTCCAGCATGAAGGGACATCTCTCTACTGAAGCAAGACCTAATTATTAGGACTAATCCTGAATAAACTTTCCGATTTTGCATGTCATGGACAGCCTCTAATTCTTAGAGGTGCTTCCCTCAGAAAGACACACAAATTTACTCTTTGCAAACATGTTGTGTATAGAAAATAGCAAAATGTATTTGCAGTGGGATAAAGAGATGAGAATGCCAAGAAATTACTTCACTTGCCTGAAAGTCTTAAGTTCACAATTTTTTGCACAGTGAGATGGATTTTCCCTCATTTATACTCTTTTGAAAAGAAACAAAAATAGCTTTTTTTATTTGGGTATTAAAACATCAGGATTTAATGTAAAAATTGTTGCATATCTCTTTGTTACCTGACTTAAGATTCTTGTATATTGCAATGGACACTTACATATTGCATGGATTGTATATAGCAATGGACACCTAGGTATCTTTGTAAATTTTAATGTTTTTCACTGTTTATCAGTGTACTCATTGGTCCTTTTTTGTGGGGGGCGATGTCTCTGGATTAACTGTCCTGACAATAGCTACAAGACCTGTGAGTTTCTGAAATTCTCAGGGCAAATGTTCTTCTACCTTTTGACGGATAAATATATATAAAACTAGCTTTGTGTAAAAGTAGTCTTTGGGGTCTGAAATTGAAAGTTTGGTAGAGCCTTAGAAGGAACACAAGCTGTTAAACAGATACTTCACTAGGATAATAGTTTCCCTTCTGTTACTGCTCTTTGCCACAGGATTCTTCCAGGCTTTGAATATCATTTCAGATGATTGCAGCAGATCAACAGCTCATCTCTTGAACAGAGCAGGAGTATATTTTCCTCTAATTGCTCTTTCCCTTCTTTTCTCCCTTTGCCACAGTCCTGAGAACACTTAAGCTTATAAATAAGTTATAGTGCAAGAACAAATGGCTTTTTAAATAGTAGGAAAAAAATGGCTTGTTTTATTTGTAAAATTGATGTCTGGGTTTTTCTTGGGTTTTTTTAAAGATAAACTGATATCCATCTTCATTATAGCTCAATAAGTATTTTTTACCCCAGGCAGTGTAACATATAGTGCATATTCCAGTGTAGTTGAATGACAAAATCCCTGGAAAGAAGAATATTTAATTTTCCAGCATTTATATAGAAAGCCAAGGTAGTTTTGCAGTGGCATTAAGCACTGGTTTAGCAACAGTTCTAAGCAACAATTTGGCTTTTCAGGCATCTGTCTTAAAATGTCTATGCTATTTCCACAATATTTCATTTGATCTCTAAAGATTATCTGGAGCAGACAACAGATTCTTCACAGCTGCTGTGTAGTTTACAAAAAGCAGAAACTCAGGCCCATAATACAATATCCTATTTCTGATTATACTCAGAAGCTAGAATACCTAAGGAAAAGCGTAAGAATGGGGTGAACATATATGACATAGACCCATACAGTCTTCCTAGGGCTTGCCCATAGTTTCTAGTTTGTGCTTCAGTTTAGTTGCCAAAATGAAGTGTTGGTATCATGTCCCTTATCATCAGATGCACCTTTCTGAACCGATCAGTCCTGGTATCTCACTTAACGCAGCTACTGTCTAAAATGTGAAAAATTAAAAAAGGGACTTATAAATTCTACAGGGTTGCAATTCAGATAAACTATGGAAAGATAGAAGTTGTAATTTTTTCTGGCTGTGGTGGAGACCAGCCTTTGGCTATTGCTTCCTGACAACAAACATTTGAAATGAATGTGGCTTCAAAAGAGTTTGGGCTGGGTTTGAGAGTTTGAGTACTGTCAATTATTGAAGAGATAATTTATTGAAGATAACTTATTGAACAAATTAGTTCAATTTCTTCTATTCTGGTAAACCAGGACAACTTCACTGATACCGGCAAATCTCCACAAGAGGAAAATACTGTGACCATGAGTCACAGGTGCATCATTTCAACAAGTTGTCATTCAACTCATTGTCCTAGAGCCACATAACTGTGAAATCTTTACTGTTCATATATTTTACATCTGTCTAAAACAAAGTTGAGAATTATAATAGAAGCACAAAGACTGAAATGATAAATGATCCTGCTCTGCCCAGTTTTTAGCAAATTATTTAAATCTGTTTGTAATTTCAGCATATTTTGTTACAGTGTATCTGAGTATGTAAAAAGAATTCTTTATCTTACCCAGCTGTAATAACTGTAATTGCTGCCATAATGAAAGTAACTCAGAATGTAGATATGCTGCCTCCTGATATAATGAAGTAGTACTAATAAACATTCAGAAATTTAATGGAATTCTACCCTGTGACTATTGTTCTCAGCCTCTGATAATCACCTATTAAGGTATTTTTAATTGAAGAAGTAATTGTGAATTTTCATAGGTTAATTTAGCACAGAAGAGACTTCTGGAGGTGATCCACTGCTCCATGCTGCTCACAGAAGTTTTTTCTTCCTGGTCAGACAAGGTCACTCAGGGTTTTATCTGGTCAAACTGATAATCTGCAAGAACAGGGACTCCATAACTCCTCTGGCTCCTTGTTGCAATGCTTAATAAATCTTATGGTTGATGTTTTTGCTTCTACACAAACAAAACTTCTTTTGCTGCAACCTGGTGATGTTGCTTTTCCCTTGCCTTCTCTGTGTCTTCACATTGAAGAACAGAAAAGAGCCATCAGATCTCCCCTAAACCTTGTTTTTTCCTGGGGCTAAACATATCCCAGCAAATTTAGTGTCCTTACATGTCATGTGCTCCAACTCCCTGTCCATCTTGGTGATCCTCCATAGGGCTGACTTCAGTCAGTCAACATCTCTTTCTTACACTGGTGGCCCCAAAACTAGATATTCTACTGCAGATGTGACCATGAGAATAGTGGAATAAAGGTTTCCCTCAGCCTGATGGCTGCACAGGCCCATAAAAAGCTAGTCCTCACTGCTGCAAGGGCATATGCCTGTGTTGTGTTCAACTTTTTGTCCACTTGAAATCCAGGATCATTTCTGCCAAAGCTGACCTCTAAGGACATGTTTAAGGAAGCACCCTTTTTCCACTAAAATCAATGATAATTTTGCTTCTGATCATAATCAGAAAAGATTAGACTCATAAATGTGTGCAATTTCAGCAAAGCACAGCCTGTAGTTCTTTACTGCCAGAAGGGTTTTCACTGAGAGTTAGGATACCTTCATATTCTCAATGTTTTGAAAGACTGAGTTTATTGAAATCATAAATAAAATTCTATTTTATCTTTTCCTTATGGTTACTCTGCAACCGAAAATGCCCTTGCTCATCTAGTGAAGCAAAATACTGAGAAGGACAAAGAGAAGTGTGAGGAGTGGAGTACTCTCCATATTCAGGAACTGCTCAGGTAACAAAACCAAAACATATTAGAGTTTGTTTCATTCCTTCAAACAATGCCACCTTATTCCAACAAGAGAAGCAGAACATGCTCTTTATCCCTGTGCCACCCATATAGATGGATAAATGTTTCATTTAAACTCCACAGTCCAAAGTCTGTGCCTTGGCTCTCCCACATTGCTCCTGGTACAGGACCAGCACCAAACCAGATAAAATTCTCAGTACTTATTTTGTCCACACAGGAGTGAAATGCAGCCAGTTCTGATCAGTGATAGCTCCTAAATCTGGTGTGCTCTGGTGGCAGTCTGTCTCAGAAGATGGCCTGATATTTAGCAGAATATCCTTCCAAGCTCCTCAGCCACTTTGTCTAAAATGCCATATTTGCTTCTAGATGTTTTCCAGAGCTTTGCTGGTTCTTTTTATGTTGCTTACTCCCAGCTTTATAACTACTGACAATTATTTGTCCACCTATTCAAAACAGAATGCAAACAAATGCAAAAAGTGCTTCCAAAGCTTTCTCCCCACAGTCACAGAAGGTTTCTGATGATGAACAGCAGGCTGTTGTTCAGTCTAACTACAATGGTATGTTAATCCACTGAGGGTGACCAGGGAAACTGGGAGTTAGCTACCCTCATAAAACACCTCAAGTGCCAGCGGAAACAAAGCCCTTCCAGTCATTATATAACATCAATTAACTCTTGCAAAAAAAATTAAAGAAAACATGCAGCACATATAACAATAACATCAGACAGATGGAAGGGACACATTCTATGGACACATAGTCGGAGACCATCATGAAATACTCATCTTCTATGCACAGGAGACCACTAATCAGCAATTTAGTTGTTTTAGTTGATTGAGTTGGCTACCTCAAATACACAGTGAAAATACCTTCCCCAGCAAAGGCTTTCCTTTTGGTGGGATGACTGACAGTGCCTTCTCTGGCTAGTAAAATTGAAAATAATTCCCATCTAGGCCATCATGGCTTATGAAGAAGTTAATCAATGCATTTTATCAAAGTAAACATATAGGAAAGCAAAATGCATGGAGCAGACAATGTGTTTGGTTTTTTTCTAGTGCAGCTTCCAAAAAGGAAAGATCACTAACATCTTTTATCGCTAAGAAATGAGGAAATATGGAAAATTTTAAGGAAGTGTTGATCAGCTGTGGACCTAGTTGGAAACAGCATGTTTTTTCTTTGAAGAAATTGATGTGTACACAAACAGGCAATAATTCAATAATTCACATCAATAATTAAATATTTCTGAGAGTAGCTTATTACTACCTCATTAAAAAGAGGAACAATCCATTCTAATTGATTATCTTTTAGTGAAAAGTAGAATTCCACACAGACTTTTTAAAAATTTGTAAAATAAAATCCAGTGCAGTGAAATTACATGGGATTTGATTTATCCTTATTTGTGTCTGATGACCCTGAGATTACTTTTGGAAGACACCCAGTTGCCTAGAGATCAATGGAAAACAAACACTCATTTTCAGCAGATGCTCCTGGCACTGCTGCATGATTCAGCAAAGCGTGCCAAGAAAAGTAAGCCTGAAGGTGGCTTCCAAACACTGTAAGACATCCCACTGCATTTCACAAGTCATGTGCCTGCCCCATAACCTGCATTTCTGAGGGCACTAAAATGCTTTTGAGCTAGTCAAAAAACATACATTAGATGAAGATTAATCACCAAAACTTAAGGTCACTTAGTCATTCTTACGTGTGAAGGATGATACACGTCAGTGGCCATGTACTACATATATTTCCTCAAGACTCTTGAAAATCTGATGCTTTGATCTTCATCTTAAGCGGATATTTATGACACTAACAAAGTCACAAGCATTGTGGCGAGGACTGATGACAAACTGCTTGCCCACAAGTTTAATTTAAAATCGTTTATTTACCACAGCAATGTGGGAAAAAAAGCAAAGGAAGTTTTTCAAGTTTGCACCTCATGTGCAAAACAAGCATAGTCTTTTTCAGGCACTGGGAAAGAAACGTCCTTTTAGAGAATTATATGCATTATGGGAGGGATAAAATCTGAAAAGAGGAAACAGCCTGCTTGTAGAAGGAGCCTGGTGTCAGAAGTGTTAGGAACCCTGTGCCCCTCTACCACCCCACACCCTGTCTCAGGAAGCAACCTCTTATTCCAGTTTCACTCCTGCTTTCTCCCAGTCTCTTACTTTATGTAGACATACTTATCTCTCCATATGTCTCACAGAGTCACAGAATTAATTAGGTTAAAAAAGACCTCTGAGACAGAGTCCAATCCATGACCAAACAAACACCCCCATGCCAACCAGACCATGGCAGAGTGCCACGTCCAGTCTTTCCTTTAATACCTCCAGGGATGGTGACTCCACCACCTCCTTAGACAGCCCATTCCAGTGTCTAATCACCCCTTCTGTGAAGAAATTCCTCCTAATGTCCAACCTAAACCTCCCCTGGCACAGTTTGAGACTATGTCCTCTCATTTGTTCAATTTAGGGATGAGGATTTTCTTTCAAGTGGCAAGAGCAGAGAGGGGAAATCTCCTGCATATCAGATTTATCATGCCTGATTTTCACATTTGCCTCAGTTGTCTGTGCAAAGAGCTTGATGAACTGATGTGCAAATGAGGAGAAAAAAAGAAAAAAGAAGAGAAAAAAGAAAACTCCCACGTAGAATAAGCAAACAGTCAGTACTATACTAAAGATTAAAACAAAAGACAAAAATGTATTAAGTTGTTTTGTTATTTTTTTTTTCCAGTGGTGGCCGGCAACAGGCCAAGGATAATAATATCCATAAGCCAAAACACAGGGAAGTTTCACCCCAGCGTGAGGAAGAACTTCACACTGAGGGAGGCAGAGCACTGAACAGGCTGCCCAGGGAGGCCATGGAGTCTCCCCCTCTGGAGACATTCCAAACCCACCTGGACGCGTTCCTGTGTCACCTGCTCCAGGTGACTCTGCCTTGCCAGGAGGGCTGGGTCGCCGTCTCCAGAGTCCAGTCCAACCCCAACAACTCTGTGATTCTGTAAGAAGCGACCCTGCGTGAGGGCACCAGAAACACCACCCTCCCCGAAAGGAAACCGCCCAAACGCCGTAGCTGTAGCCAAAAGCGGCGATTTCTCCCCCAAAGCCGCTTCAAACCCCTCAGGTTTCCCCGCGGCGCTCTGTCCCCGCCACCTCCGGGCACCCTGGCGCTGCGGCCAGACACCGCCCCGGCTGTGGGGCGGCCCTGCGCGGCCTCACGGGAGTTGTAGTCGGGCGGGG